ATGTACAAGACGACATGACAAAATATTGTAGCTCAAGCTATAAAATTATTGTTACTGACAGTACTTTTTCTAAAGCATAATTTTTCATATTAAATATACATGTAGTATTCATGATTTTCCTTACTAGTACTTGTGATGTTATGCATGTACATGTACTTCTTGTGGAGAAATATTGTACTTATTTGTATACTTGCATGTGTTCACTCCCACTTAGGAGGCGACTACACCAAGAATCGTCAAGTTCGACAAACCAGCATGGAATCAACACCCGGATCTCCAACGCTATCGATACGCGGACATGACCACCACTGTCGTATACACTGGCTCTTTTTAGTTTTACACGGTGGTAATATACTAGATGGAGGACAAGACATCAACTCCAAACAGATTGATTTGAATACACTTAGAGCTGCATTGGATGCAGTTACAAGGGCTCATTTCCCAGCTACTTATGGACATATCGCTGTCAAATTGGTTCCGTGTCCCTCCACATGCACTGAAGCACTCAATCTACTTACAAGGTATGTACATTTTTTCCCACTCTTGGGTCACAATGAATGAATATACTGTAATGCCTGCCTAATCAAAACACTAAAATAATCAAGGAAATCGTTCGTTGTACAATAGTGTTCAGTTTGTCTATAGGTATCAACCCTTTGAATGCCAGATTGTTTCGTTACCCAGAATTCAGTGTAAACATTTGAAATTGCTAAATATTATCATTTTGGTTCATGCGGACAGTTTTGGATATTGCTTATACATTGTAGTTTTTGTAGTTTTGTCAAAGGTTTGTCATTGCGTGGAGGAGAAACAATCATTTTATAGATGGTGCCAAAAGTTAACAATGATGCTGAAAGGTTTATGAATGCTATAAATTTTTCCTCTAAAATTTTTGTGCAATATTTTGCCCATTTTAATATTTTTTAATCCCTTTCAAAATTGACACAGTTTTCCACTTGCTACAATTTTTGGTCAAATATTTTTAAAAAAAAATGTTTAAAAAATATGCAGCTTTGTTTTGTAAAAGGTTATTTTTTTTTTTTCAAAGGATTAGCAAATTAAATCATATAAACAATGAGCCCACTTATTGGTTGAAAAAACTCATCCATACTTGACTAATTCTTGATTTGTGGAATGTTGATTAGTAGTACATTGTACATTGATGATAATCAATATATGAAACATAATACGAAATGTTTAAAATGCTTCACAAGTGATCCTATTGATCCTTAAGCATCTATTAAATTGGTAGTTGCCCAGAAGCTATGCAGTGTTCCACTCAAGATAGGTCATACCACTAATGCCTAGATATTATGCTTGTAATATCTTTATAGCCTTCAATCTATGCAGTGGTCATAATAATTTATTCTTTTAACGCCAAGATACGATGATTGTTTAATCATCTGAAGATTGTGAGTATGTGGAATTTCTTCCATGCAGCTTCCAAACTGTCAAATAAATGGATTTATAGTGTATTTTATTATAGTAAATGCTACATATGTTCTACGCTACTTTAGGAAGAGCCTGTGAGTCTGAATGGGTAATGTGATATTACTAGCAATTGTACCTAGGCATTATAGTGCAGTGGCATATACATGTAGCAAGTGGCATGCTACATATGTTCTAGGCTACTTTAGGAAGAGCCTGTGAATCTGAATGGGTAATGTGATATTACTAGCATTGTATGTAGGCATTGTAGTGGATTGGCATATACATGTAGCAAGTGGCATGCTATAGATGTTCTAGTCTACTTTAGGAAGAGCCTGTGAATCTGAATGGGTAATGTGATATTGTACCTAGGCATTAGTGGAATGAAGTATAGTGACCTTATAGAGTTTGGCTAGTGTAATGGTGTGTTGTGGGAGTATTTTACTGAACTCTACATGGCTTTTTATGTCATCTGTATATTTATTTTGTTTGTTCATTGCAGTATCAGCCCGTATAGTTACGACACCAAATCTCCACTTAACGATAACAGTCCATCTACGGGATGTGGTGATTTCTTACCACTTGGAGCACTACCTGTCATAGCGACATCTAATCCTGAATATCTTGAAATCGTTACGACCGTAGTGAATAAGGCTAATAGCGTATATGCGGATTTCTTAAAATCAGACGATGGATTTGGATTCAGTGGTCAGGTGAGACATACACTGTTCATATGTTTAATTGAAAACGATTATGAGAGTAACATTTTGCTTTAGCTGCCTTTAGTGAAAAAGTAAAATTCAAATGTTTGTGCCACAGAATTTTGGGACCGTCTCTTACTGGTAAAATTTGCGAATTTGTCACGCAAAGCAGAAGACAAAAACGATTTAAGCCGTATACAGTATGTTTTGTGCTATTCTTCAAACGCCTAAATTCCCACATTTGTTTAATAATTACTTTTATAATCATATTTTGGGTATGATTATTTACTGTTCTATGTTGTATCAAGTTTATTGCTTCTGATGATCCATGTACATTAATGAAAAGTCAAAATGACATGTCATTTAAAACGCTACAGTTTTGTAAATAAATAATGTATTTTACCTGCACCTTATATACATTGCATTTTTGGAGCATTATTGAACACGAATTGGTGCTCCGACTGTATAGAATGATAATGAATTAGTGTTTCAATACTTTTAGGTGTCGCTTATTGGAGACAGTGTTGGTGCAATATTAGGATACGATATGCTTTGCTGGCCAAACTTATCATCGTTAAATCATCATGGAAGCCAATTAAGTATGTCTGAGAGCGAGGACGATCATTTACAAGAAACACGCCCACTTAGTCGCAGTAGTGGTGATCTACAACAAATTGATACAGAAGATGTTGTGACAAGTATTGATACCAATAAACGTTTTGCGGCACCAGGATCTGCGTTCCATCGTGAGAGTAGCTTCACTTTTGGCAGTAAAGGACACATTCATCAGAAGTTGACAAATAAGAGTAGCCATGAGTCTAGCAAACATACTGCTACTACTAGTGTTCAACAACCCATATCGGAAAATCATTTACCGCGACTAGAGTTTGAAGTCCATAACTTCTATATGTTTGGATCTCCACTGGCATTGGTCTTAGCATACAGAAAAATGGTACACACAGATGGAAGGAGTATGGCTGGTGAGTTATGTTAATTAATACATGAAAAAGCAATTGTTTTGCCATAAATGTGTGTTAATTCGAATATTAATTCTGCAGACTCATCATTTTTCTCATTATTGAAAGATTTTGTCAATCAATAAATATTTGTGCATCATTTTTGTGTACGATTACTTTGTTACCGGTAATTTTGAACAAAACCAACAATTTTTCATGAGTGTTGATCACAATTTGATAACAAAAAAATATATGTAAAACAAATATTTAATATGTTGGCATTAATCTCTTCACCACCAGTTCCCTATCTTCATCACAAATTCACAAAAAAGTCCTGTTTATAGTCTGCATTTTTCTTTAGAAGTTTGGGACAAACTAAAAATGAGAAACTGAAAATCGACCCACATTTGTCTCTTAGCTCCAAAATTAGGGTTCATTTATTTCCAAAAATATTTAGTATAACAAAATTTGGGCGAGAAAGTCTGGTGGTGAAAAGGTTGAGGGTTTGGCATCAACCTAATCAAGTACAATTGTTTGATAGTGACATGTCATGCTGTGTTTTTTTGGTTTCAGATGATCCTGTCCAGCCATGCTGTGGACAAGTTTATAATTTATTTCACAGAACAGATCCATCTGCTAGTCGCCTAGAGCCTCTACTTGATGTCAAGTTTTCTTTGTTACCGCCCTCCACTGTTCCACGTTATCAAAAATTTCCTCTTGGAGATGGCCATTCAATAAATATTGGTGAGTGTTTGCTCAAAGCAGTATAAAATCAAACCTGTGTACCCAAATCTGTGTCAACCCAAACCTATTTCATCCCAACCCTGTGTAAGTAAAACATACGTAAACCCAAAGCTGTATAAGTGAAAACATGTGTAAACCCAAAGCTGTATAGGTGAAAACATGTGTCAACCCAAATCTGTGTAAACCCAAAGCTGTATAGGTGAAAACATGTGTCAACCCAAATCTGTGTAAACCCAAAGCTGTATAGGTGAAAACATGTGTCAACCCAAATCTGTGTCAACCCAAAGCTGTATAGGTGAAAACATGTGTCAACCCAAAGCTGTACAGGTGAAAACATGTGTCAACCCAAAGCTGTGTAAACCCAAAGCTGTGTAAACCCAAACCTGTGGAAGTGAAAACATGTGTTACCCAAATTTGTGTAAACTTAGTCAAAAATGTTTGTAAACCCAAATCAGCGTCAACCCAAAGCTAGGTAAACCAAGTGAAAAGTGACCTGGAAGTGAAAAGGTGTGTAAACCTAAACCTGTGTCAACCCAAACCTATGTTAACCTACCCTGTGTCAACCCAAATCGGTGAAACCAAGCCTGTTAACCTAAACCTGTTAACCCAAACCTATGTTAACCTCCCCTGTAGAAACCCAAACCATTGCAAAACATTGCTTGCCTGTATCTGTAAGGGTGGGCAGATCATAGTATTGGGTGGGGGAATCATTACATATGTGGGGCAGATCACAGCATAAGATGGAGAGATGGACTACCAAGGGTAGGGAAGATCACAGCATATGGTCAGAAGGTTTGATAGTAATCACCTATTAAATAAAAATGTGGAAGTTACTTAAAATGACTCTTTAAAGAAACAATTTAAAGACATTCAAAATCAGGTGTAATGTAGAGTGAAAAAAAGCAAAAAATAATAATTTTAAAAAAATTAAAAAAAGAAGTAGAAAAAAATTAAGTTTCTAGCCTGAGATTTGATCTCTCTCAATCTTCCTGTTGTAAGGTTCTTAACCACTACACTACGAAGTTTCCCAATATACATTATATATACACAAAATTAACAAAATTAAATTATTTGGAGATCAACTTCAAAATTTATACAGTGCAACTATAGCTACAGATTAACCATATATGTAAGTTTGATAGTGATACACTGCATATTATTTGGGTTATCATGCTCCCAAGAAAAGTTTACAACAATGAAGACAAATGAGACATTTTGCCAGAATATGTAGTATGACTTTTCCTTCACTTCAGTACAGGCAAGCCATGCAACCAAACTGTGTAAACCCAAACCTGTATCAACTCAAAACTGTGTAAATCCTCAGCTGTCAACCCAAAGCTGTGTAAACTTGTACCTTATTATACCGACACCTGAGTAACCAAATCTGTGTCATACCACATCTCAACCCAAAGCTGTATGTAACCCAACCACGTTGGTGAAAATGTGTGTAAACCCAAATCTGTGTAAACAAATCTGTGTAAACCCAAACCTGTGTACCCAAATGTGTGTGAACCCCAATCTGTGTACCCAAATCTGTGTCAACCCAAAACTATGTAAACCCAAATGTGTGGAAGAGAAAAGATGTGTAAACCCAAATCTGTGTAAACCTGTGTAAATCCAAACATGTGTAGGTGAAAATCTGTCTCAACCCAAATCTATATAAACCCAAATCTGTGTAAACCCAAATCTGTGTAAACAAATCTGTGTAAACCCAAACCTGTGTACCCAAATGTGTGTAAACCCCAACATGTGTACCCAAATCTGTGCAAACCCCAATCTGTGTACCCAAATCTGTGTCAACCCAAAGCTATGTAAACCCAAATGTGTGGAAGAGAAAAGATGTGTAAACCCAAATCTGTGTAAACCTGTGTAAATCCAAACATGTGTAGGTGAAAATCTGTCTCAACCCAAATCTATATAAACCCAAATCTATATAAACCCAAATCTGTGTCAACCCAATGCTTTGTAAACCCAAATGTGTAGAAGAGAAAAGATGTGTAAACCCAAATCTGTGTAAACATGTGAAGTTGAAATTCTGTGTCAACCCAAAACTATGTAAACATAATCCTGTGTACCCGTAAGCAAAAACCTGTGTAAACCTAAACCTGTCTAAACCAACGTTATCAGGCCCATTGTTGGATTTCATTGTGTTAAAATACTCTAAAGTGCTTTATTTGCAAATACTAAGTGTTTTAATTTAATTATCCTAATTAAACCGTTTTTTTTGCATTTATTATTTTTATTTATTTATTTTGTTATTAGGTGACATAATTCACAGTAATTCATTTTTATTTGGTGAAGGTGGTGGAAGCAATTTACAACGCCATCCAAGTCAGTGCAGTGTCAGTAGCCAGACAGACTATCCACCAGCCACCACCTGCCATCTATCAAGTGGTAAGCTTGCTAATTTGGCTTTCAACTCAAAAATTTGTGTTTTGGCAAAATTGTATGTGTTAGATTATCTGTTATTTTTGCTTAGTGTTAATTTAGAATCAAATAAATATAACATACGTTTGTACAATACAACAACCTAGTAAAACTAGTTTTGAGATGGTTGAAAGGCTTTGTTTGATGTAATTATTTGGTTTAAAAAATCACATTTAAAAGTCTCGTTAAAATCAAATCACATTGAATCAGAAATGGACACTGAGGGCGCTGTTTTCAAATATGACATCATCGATTAGCCAGATTTCTTTAAAAAAAAGATGGCGGTTCACCTTAGGATTTCATACAGTGGCTGATTATTGCTATCAATTGGGGAGAGAAAATTGTCCTTTGCTCAAAAAGAGTAAATTGAGTCCCTGTCAGTTCAAGGGCACAAAGTTCCATGCTTGAGTTTTTTATTATTGAAGGTCTTTTTACATTCAAAATAAATATTGTTCATTTGATTAAATAATCAAATACTCAATGATATTTGATGACTTTGTCAGATTAGCATGTTTGTACGCAGCTAAATTAACCTTTTTGGCTTGCATATTTGTGCTTCTATTCGAGATGGACTTTGAATGGAAAATGTGTTTCATCACAAGTGTCGGAGAATCAGGCCTAGTAATTATGATACACTGATCTGCATACACAGGAGATGGTGCTGAGATTACTGTACTGAAAACATAGGATGTATGGGTAATTGCTAGTCTACCCTCTAAGAGATATGATGCACCCTCTAATTGGTATAATGCACCACAGACACACTGTGATGCAACTGGTTCATGACAAACTGGCTCCCTAAAACCTGAGGCAACTTTTTTTGTATTCAAAAATTCATACATTTACAGTAACAAAAGTTTTTTATTTTGCTCATTAATTGTTTATGTTGTCTTTGGTTGTGAATTATATTGATTTTGAATACCAGTTTATGATATAAAATGTGTATCTTCCAAATTTTTTGCTTTTTTGGTTTGCCCTTAATGAAGTGAAGCGAAAGTTATCATAGTGACAAAATATCTGTTGTCGGCGTCGTAATAAACTTTGTGGGTGCCATAAGTCTAATAATATGCAGCTGATCACTATCCACCTATGGTTAATAGATATAGTGTATGTATAATTGGCCTGTATAGACTTTGGAGCAAAACTTGTATTTTTGGAGATATATTACGTATATAAGTGTCTATTAAGAAACTTCAAAGTGTAGTTTTTAACAAGTGAAAGATTGAATGATCAAATCCCATGCTAGAAACTAAATTTGTTGTAACTGTTTACATTTTTTTATATTTTGGAATGTTCATGTTTGTTTTTTTTCCTTTGAATTATTTTGCCTTTTCTCAGCATTTTTTTTGTATTCGTTATCAATGGAGGGCACCCTTTAACCTTTTGTTCATAACTTCAGTGTTTAACATTTTCAATGAATTTAATAAGAAATATCTACTAGAACGGATTGCTTGTTTCACCATATTAAAGGAACAGTGCTGTTAAACAATTCAGCAAAATAGGGAGTCTTACATTATAACACCAGTAAGACCATTTTTAAATTACTTTCTCCATGTTTTGTCTGCTATGCACACTGAAGTAAAAGTGTGAATTGTTAGGAAACAAAAACAGAAACAAATTTGTATAAACAGACAACAGCGGGAACTCAGCTAAATATTATCAAAACCATCCCACCACCATCACCCATGTTTACTGTCTTCCCTATGGTTATGCCAGAAATTAATCTCAATAAGATTCAACAGATTGAAGCGGTTAATTTTTCCTTATCACAATTATGCCCTGAGCAAGCTGACTGAACCAAAATTCCCTATCACTGTCGTATATTGTTTTGAAATCATAATGAACTCCTTTTCTTATTGCTCTCACAGTTGTAAATAAATGGTGGGGAAGTAAAAGATTGGATTATGCATTGTACTGTCCTGAAGCCCTCCAGGCATTTCCTACAGGAGCTTTGCCTCATTTATTTCATGCCAGCTACTGGGAATCTACCGATGTAGTGGCTTTCATTCTGAGACAGGTAATTCACTTTTGCTGTCAATATTATTTAACTTTCAATATTTAAGACATAACAGTACTTGTTTCAAGTGTTTCAAATGCTGGAAAGTGCATCTTTTATATGGCATGTTTTTTTGTTTTGCTGATTCATGATGTAGTTGACAGCTTTAATTTTGCAAGTCAGTGAACCGTTATTTAGCAGTGAAAATTGCACTGGTGTCTTCTGTACAATGGTATTCTCATGAATGCTATTAAAATCAAGTCATTGCAAAGCTACTTACAAGATTGTACTTGATTGGCTACCTAACACCTAACAGTCAGACCAATCAGAGAGCAGCTTGTTTGTCAAAGCAAAGCTACTTACAAGATTGTGCCTGATTGGCTACCTAACACCTAACAGTCAAACCAATCAGAGAGCAGTTTGTTTGTCAAAGCAAAGCTGCTTACAAGATTGTGCCTGATTGGCTACCTAACACCTAACAGTCAGACTAATCAGAGAGCAGTTTGTTTGTCAAAGCAAAGCTACTTACAAGATTGTGCCTTATATTTGTTCTGACTTTGAAAATCAATGTTCAATGTGGGTCCCATGTGACATATACAATGTGTGTAAATACATTGTTTTTTTTACATGAAATGTGATGTTTAAGATTTTGCTAATTTAGTCATTTGTTAGAATTAACATTGAATAGATATTATTAGCCATGTGACACACCCTATGATAGCCATGTGACACATCCCACTTTAGCCATGTGACATGCCCCACTTTAGCCATGTGACACGCCCCACCTTAGCCATGTGACACGCCCCACCTTAGCCATGTGACACTCCCCACTTTAGCCATGTGACACATCCCACTTTAGCCATGTGACACATCCCACTTTAGCCATGTGACACATCCCACTTTAGCCATGCGACACATCCCACTTTAGCCATGCGACACATCCCACTTTAGCCATGCGACACATCCCACTTTAGCCATGCGACACATCCCACTTTAGCCATGCGACACATCCCACTTTAGCCATGCGACACATCCCACTTTAGCCATGCGACACATCCCACTTTAGCCATGCGACACATCCCACTTCAGCCATGCGACACATCCCACTTCAGCCATGCGACACATCCCACTTTAGCCATGCGACACATCCCACTTTAGCCATGTGACACATCCCACTTTAGCCATGTGACACATCCCACTTTAGCCATGTGACACATCCCACTTTAGCAGTGTGACACATCCCACTTTAGCCGTGTGACACATCTCACTTTAGCCGTGTGACACATCCCACTTTAGCCGTGTGACACATCCCACCTTAGCCATGTGACACATCCCACCTTAGCCATGCGACACATCCCACCTTAGCCATGCGACACATCCCACCTTAGCCATGTGACACATCCCACTTTAGCCATGAGAAACACGCCACTTTAGTTGAACTACAGGCAATGGGAAATCAAATTTGATTCAAAATTATTAAAAAAATTACAGAAAATATTACAAAATGTACCAAAATTTTGCGTGAAAAATTATGACAGTAATGCATGTTTTCCTAATATATCTATCTAAAGAGGCAGTAGCAGTCTACAGTACAACTGTAGTCATGCAGTATGCCTGTAGTCTGGTCTCTGACATCTGTTTATGATGTGTATGCATAGTGGCAAAACTTAATATTTGTTAGTGACCTGAATCATCAACATCTGATTTGCAAATTAATGTAGCAGTAATTGTTATACTGTACATTAATTTATCAATCTGCACACATTGGATCACAGATACAGACTATCTAAGCATCACTGTCATCAGAAAGAAATAGTAGCCTAGTAAGGCCAAAAATATGGATCTCTCTCTCTGTTTTTCTTTTTATTTGAAACAAAAGGGAAAAAATGGAGCTATGCTAATATTGTGGTAAAATGTAGCTTTAATTCTAAGATATGGTTGCTAACTTTTATATTGTTTGCAGATGATCAAACAGTCAGAGGAATTGCTACAAATATTTGAGGTGATTTGTGTAGACAATATCAAATACTATAGCTGCTCTCTCACTGTGTGCTCTCTAAATCGTTTCAATTTCGCCAGAGACAAATTTCTGCGAGCATTTTGTAGCAGTGAATATCTGGGTTCTTAAGATTGGGAGTCATAGTGTCTTTTACATAGTTCAGTACTCTAGTACAGGAAAATTATTGAAATGCAAAATTTTGTGACGGCGAAATTGAACTGTTTGCAGTATGTTAAGCCTCTTCTCTGCATAATTCCAAGATGGCTGCCACTAAACACTGATGTGACCTTTTTTTCAGACGACTATATACCAAATTCAATTAACCATTTCAATGACAAAGTCGCCTTTTGTTCCTTTCACAAAAAGTTGTTGTGAGTGCTTTTTTTTTAAACTGACATGTTTTCCGATCCAAATCAAATAATATTTTTTGGCTCAAACTCGCATTTTATTTAAGAAAAGATGTAAAATTATTCTAACACTGAGAGCATTTGTGTTTCTAAGTAAGAATTGGTGATAAGTAAGATACTGTGATTTTAACAACTAATTCTGATAAAATTTTTGCTATGAACTGAAGTTCATAGTGATAACATGAAGTGATAACATATCTCGTTTTGGTCTTTAAATAAACAGCGCCCTCTATATACATCATATGGAGAGGGACTTTTTGCTGCAGCCATCTTGAGAATTCCTGAGAAGTTGCTGTTGTTGAAAATCATTGTGCATGCGTGTACAGTACGCATAGGTAGCTTGCTTAGAAATATTTATGTGGGCATGAGAATATCATTTAAAATATCATTGTCCAGTAAAACCATTTTCTGTAGTTATGACACTTATCTTACTGAGATCACATGTTTTAACACATCCGTTCAGAAGTTGAACACCCATCACAGATCAACCCTTGACTTTCATCGCATTAGTTTTCGAGATTAGGAAAATTAGGAAAGTCATCCCAGTATCTATATTGAAGCTATCCAATCGTGCGTTTGATCACAGTTTGCAGAATTCTAATATTTACGTTTGTAATAGGATAAACGGTTTTCTAGACATAGAAAATGAGTGCCGTTTGAAGCTATGCAAATAACTGCTGACATACGTTTAAACAAGGCTGTCAGTGTGTTAATTAATGCATTACTATTTGTAGCTGTAACGCATATTAAATAAAACTGCGGCTCATGTGTGTTGCATGACAGATATATAGTTACTAATTTTATTCAGCTTAACAATGACACGTATGTGATATTGTCTCATGTATACACACAAAATATCAGTTTACGCAGCCAATCATTTCTCTTGAATCATGGGAGAAACAAATGCTAATATTCATTCTACTTTCTACTAAATCCTTTTAACTTCTAGAATGCTCAAGTCAATTTTTTTCACCTTGCACAAAAAAACAAAAAAAATCTTTCATAATATTTTAAGATAAATTTCATTCATTTCGGTCAAGATCTGTAGCCAATGGAAAATTATATATATTTAATTTAAAATTATCGGGTAATAAAGAAATTACAGAAAAATGCCTAAAAATGTGCACAATGTCACTGAGCATTTTTGTGAGAGAAAGTATGCCGTTAAACTTGAGGCGTGTGTATACATCAACTCATAGGAATTACAATTGTGTTGTCCATACCTACTACTAACCATTAACAACAGTTATCTATGTACAATAAACACACAGTGCATGTCTAGCAACCCTTAGTGGTATTTGTTGCTGACATTGTATCAGATAGTGATCGGTTGATGTCAGTGGTTAGATTTGTTGTAGTTACTATAGCAACATTGTATAGTATGGTGATTTCTAGATGTTAGGTTTGTTGTAGTTACTTAGACAGGTTGAGCCTGTTTACATGTACTTTTAAAATTAGAAAACATTATACCCACATGATATTGAATTTATGGATTAGTGTAACAGATTGTATCATCATGGTAACAACTTAATATATAATTATTGTTGTGGTCAGTAATTACCTGATGTATACATGCCCATTAATTACCTGATGTATATGTGGCAAATAATTACCTGCTCTATGTAGGGTCAATAATTACCTAATGTTTACATGGCCAATAATTACCTGATGTAGAGATGGCCATTAATAACCTTATGAATATAGGGCCAATAATTCTATTACAATAAATACCTAATGTATACATGGCCAATAATTACCTGATTTATACATGGCCAATAATTACCATAGGTATATAGGGCCAATAATTACCTTATGTATACATGGCCAATAATTACCTTATGTATGTAGGGCCAATAATTACCTGATTTATACATGGCCAATAATTACCATAGGTATATAGGGCCAATAATTACCTTATGTATACATGGCCAATAATTACCTTATGTATGTAGGGCCAATAATTACCTGATTTATACATGGCCAATAATTCCCTTATGTATGTAGGGCCAATAACTACCTGATTTATACATGGTCAATAATTACCATAGGTATATAGGGCCAATAATTACCGTATGTATACATGGCCAATAATTACCTTATGTATGTAGGGCCAATAATTACCTGATTTATACATGGCCAATAATTACCTTATGAATATAGGGCCAATAATTCTATTATAATAAATACCTAATGTATACATGGCCAATAATTACCTGATTTATACATGGCCAATAATTACCATAGGTACATGTATATAGGGCCAATAATTACCTCATGTATGTAGGGCCAATAATTACCTGATTTATACATGGCCAATAATTACCATAGGTATATAGGGCCAATAATTACCTTATGTATACATGGCCAATAATTACCTTATGTATGTAGGGTCAATAATTACCTGATTTATACATGGCCAATAATTACCTTATGTATGTAGGGCCAATAATTACCTGATTTATACATGGTCAATAATTACCATAGGTATATACTGTAGGGCCAATAATTACCATATGTATACATGGCCAATAATTACCTTATGTATGTAGGGCCAATAATCACCTGATTTATACATGGCCAATAATTACCATAGGTATGTAGGGGCAATAGTTTCTTGATGTATATAGGGCCAATAATTACCTTATGTATGTAGGGCCAATAATTACCTTATTTATACACGGCCAATAATTACCATAGGTATATAGGGCCAATAATTACCTAATATATACATGGCCAATAATTACCATAGGTATGTAGGGGCAATAGTTTCTTGATGTATATAGGGCCAATAATTACCTTATGTATGTAGGGCCAATAATTACCTGATTTATACATGGCCAATAATTACCTTATGTATGCAGGGCCAATAATTACCTAATGTATATAGGGCCAATAATTACCTTATGTATACATGGCCAATAGTTACCTTATGTATGTAGGGCCAATAATTACCTTAGGTATATAGGGCCAATAATTACCTTATGTATACATGGCCAATAGTTACCTTATGTATGTAGGGCCAATAATTACCTGATTTATACATGGCCAATAATTACCATAGGTATATAGGGCCAATAATTACCATATGTATACATGGCCAATAATTACCTTATGTATGTAGGGCCAATAATTACCTGATTTATACATGGCCAATAATTACCATAGGTATATAGGGCCAATAATTACCTAATGTATACATGGCCAATAATTACCTTATGTATGTAGGGCCAATAATTACCTGATTTATACATGGCCAATAATTACCTTATGTATGTAGGGCCAATAATTACCTGATTTATACATGGCCAATAATTACCATAGGTATATAGGGCCAATAATTACCTTATGTATACATGGCCAATAATTACCTCATGTATGTATGGCCAATAATTACCTGATTTATACATGGCCAATAATTACCATAGGTATGTAGGGGCAATAGTTTCTTGATGTATATAGGGCCAATAATTACCTTATGTATGTAGGGCCAATAATTACCTTATTTATACACGGCCAATAATTACCATTGGTATATAGGGCCAATAATTACCTTATGTATGTAGGGCCAATAATTACCTGATTTATACATGGCCAATAATTACCTTATGTATGTAGGGCCAATAATTACCTAATGTATACATGGGCAATAATTACCTTATGTATACATGGCCAATAATTACCTTAGGTATATAGGGCCAATAATTACCTTTAGTTATGTATACATGGCCAATAGTTACCTTATGTATGTAGGGCCAATAATTACCTGATTTATACATGGCCAATAATTACCTTAGGTATATAGGGCCAATAATTACCTTATGTATACATGGCCAATAGTTACCTTATGTATGTAGGGCCAATAATTACCTGATTTTTACATGGCCAATAATTACCTTATGTATACATGGCCAATAGTTACCTTATGTATGTAGGGCCAATAATTACCTGATTTATACATGGCCAATATTTACCATAGGTATATACTGTCAATAATTACCTAATGTATACATGGCCAATAATTACCTAATATATACATGGCCAATAATTACCTAATGTATACATGGTCAATAATTACCTTATGTATGTAGGGCCAGTAATTACCTGATTTATACATATAGGGCGAATAATTACAAATGTACATGATGTATAGATAGCCAATAATTGCCTGTTGTCTACATGGCCAATAATTACCTGTTGTCTACATGGCCAATAATTACCTGTTATATATAGGGCCAATAATTACCAAATGAATTTATATACCGGTAGGGTCAATAATTACCCATCTATATTGGGTCAATAATTAAGTTTTTTATACAGAGCAAATAACTACCTAGACATGTTTACTACACACTGTAGTTGCATACAGGGTCAATATAATTACCTGATGTTTGTAGTGCCAATAATTACTTGTGCATATCCAATTATGTATACACGATCAATCATGGGTTGATGTACAATTTTTTTGTTCATGTCATGCGACTAGTATTCATTAATTTGCATATCATTAGAATAATACGGTAAATATTATCAAGCTAGTATTATAATATTAGTTTGTATTCATTAGCATAATAGTTGCTATATATGATTCATTTTTTTGATATTTTATAAATGTAATCAAGTATTTTTTCTATCTGTCTAAGATGGTACGCCATGACAGTGTCAGCGTACATATGGGGAATGATACAGGACAAGAAATGCCGACATTTGCGCCAATGCAACCACGTGAGAAATGGCAACGAAGAAGAACAACTGTTAAGTTGAAGGTAAGTTTGTGGACAATGTTGCTTGCACTTTCTACTGTTGACTTTTCAAATTCCAAACTGCAAAGCTCTGTGTTTTGATTGTCATGTACCATAGAAACCAGATCTTCAGTACACAGATTCAAAGTTAACTGGAGATTATGACATTTTCCTCCTCCCAAAATATTGAATTGGAGTAAACAAACCAAATGACAATATCTCATTTTAACTATTTTTTGCATTTTTTACTGTATTCATCATGTCCAAAAATGTTGAGAAAGAGTTCAAGACCCTACCCCTCTCCACCCAAAAACTGAATTCTAACACTCCAGTCTCAGTGTAATTGTATGTGCCACTCCAGACACCTGTGTTCTGAGCACTGGTATATAAAATGGCATGGGCACTGGAGGAACAGGGTTAAGATTAGAGTTAAGGGTGAGAAGGTCCTAAAGAACTACATTTTAATTTCTAGTTTCAAAGAGTTACTACAAAAATATTTTGCCAATATGTTTGATGAGAATTTCCCATGTGTAATACATTGCCATTTATCCTTAGTAGGCACAAAATGCGAATATGGTGTGAATTTTCTTAAAAGCCTTTTCTGTCAAGACAGCATGTAATTTATATGTGTTTAATTTTGAAATAAAAATTATAGTCATAAATTTAGACAACTGCCAAGACAAAAATCAATTTTGTGACATTTATGATATTTGTCCTTCAGAATGTGAGTCCTAATCACCGTAGCAACGACATTATAGTGACTGAGGAGTTGAACCAGACATTACATGCTAGGTTTATGTATGGGCCGTTGGATATGGTGACTTTAACTGGAGAAAAGGTAAACATTTCACATTTTTTTTTTTACAATCATGAATAAATCACTTTCTTGAAACACATCTGTATAAAATACTTATTTTTTAATTTATTTTTTTTTAATTTATTTTTTCAGTTTTTTGTTTCACAATTTATTTACAATCACTTTTTTAACACTTATCTGTGTAAAATACTCCAAATAATTTCTTTGTTTCATTTATTTTTATTATACATTGTAATTTTGTCTGCTAGTCGACTAGCAGGCATCTTGTTTTTTGGAGATGGTGTTTGTCATTTTCATTTAAATTTGTTATACACACTGAACATTTTGGATTACATGTCCATGGCAATTTGTTTTACAATCTGATCAAAGATGGCCAAATGGAGGCCATTTTGCTGTTTGGCCATACAACTATATTTCCAAGACTTATGGACCATTATCATTCATATTTGGCACATACATTATACATGTTGGAATACATGTCCATGACAATTTGTTGCATATTCAGATCAAAATTGGCAACCATCTTGTTTTTTTGAAAATGTGTCATCTTGAACATGCTTTGTCAGTTTTCATCCAAATTTAGTACAAGCATTACACATGTTGAGATAAATGTCCATTTTGATCCATTTCACGTTCGGTTTAAAATCGGTAAGCAGCTATCTTGTTTTTTGAAAATGTTTTATTTTGTATAATTTATCATTTTTATCATATATGTAAAAAAAAGTGTACATACATGTAGGTCATTTAGAATAACAATTGAGTCTGGTTGCGAATGAATTCATGAATGGCAAGATTACTTTATGAGATGATGTCTATGAGTTAAAGTAAATTTCAACTCCATATATGTGACTATATATTAGATTACAAATTTAGAAGTCATTTAATTTAATCTGATTTTTGTTGATACTAGTTTAGTCAAATATACACTACAAAGTAACTGGTCACATGACCAGTGATTTGCATATGTTATGCATGTAGCAAAACATGTCCATAAAAAATAAAATCGTCATCAGGTAAAAACGACAAACTTGCAGCCATCTTTCTTTTTGGTCGTGTGAATTTCCCCTAATTAACATAAACAATGACTTGTTTTTATTGCTAGATTGACATTCACATCATGACACAGCCTCCATCCGGTGAATGGGTCTATTTTGATACAGTTGTTACTAACAATCATGGAAGAACATCATACACATTACCAGATTCACGTCGACTTGGTCATGGGATGTATCCCGTCAAAATGGTTGTCAGGTAATGACAATGTAATGTCTGACCACCTTGTGAGGTCTTTATATAGTTCTGATTCAATATTTCCTGTGCTTATCACATATATAACAAGTTGTAAAAGATGCAGTTAACCAGAGATAATTATATTTACAGGGGAGATCATACCTGTGTTGATAGTTATTTACTGGTCCTACCACCACGTACTGAATCTGTTGTGTTCAGTATCGATGGATCATTCACAGCAAGTGTGTCTATAATGGGTAAAGATCCTAAAGTGAGACCAGGAGCAGTAGATGTTGTCAGGTAAGTGATCTTGTCATTTAATACCTGTTACAGAGGTTGTTATAGGGGGTGTCAGGTAAGATCTACAATATAACCTATACATGTATCAGTTCATTGAATGCATCCATATATGGTATGCGATTGCAGTAGATGGTGTCAGGTAATAAAGAACTATTGCTACAGATAAAAGTATTGTATTGACTTTCAGTTGCATGTCTTTGTTTTAATCACCTGATGAAACCCTCCATAGATAAAAAATTGTTTTAGAAAACGATGAAGTAACAAAATAAACAAAACACTTTATTTTTCAAGACATTGGCAAGAGCTTGGATATCTGATCATATACGTGACTGCACGTCCTGACATGCAAAAACAGAAAGTGCTAGAGTGGCTAGCTCAACACAATTTTCCACATGGGATGGTGAATTTCTGTGATGGTATCTCTGCCGATCCATTAAGACAAAAGGGAAATTATCTTAAAAATCTCATACAGGATGTAAGTACAGAGTTTATTTCACAATTGAATGCCACTCACTTGTATGCACATAATCATATATATTTACATTCACATACTTCATAGGACGGTGGTTGTTGCGCGCAGAGGAGTTCTTTCTAAGTTTTCTATGTAAACAATGTAGTTTACACAGGTTGTGTATGAGTATCGAACAAGACGCGGCATGACGACCAGCGCATTTTCAAGCCTAAATGATATACAAGCTTGTGACTTCCAGAATCATGTTTAAAAACCTATGAACAAGGTTCTTACAAATCATTAAACAGTTTTGAAATGTGTTATTTTTTATATTTTTAAGGTCTTGAAAAAGTCAGATGTACACTTATTATTTTGCAGAGATCTTGAAAATATGAGGAATGTTAGAATTATGCTTAGTGATATGTTATCTGTTGGCTTCAGCATGAAACTTAACTTTTCTGGCCACTCATGCTTTTCAAAAATGGATCTTAAAATTTCCTAAATATGGTCTTGAAAGGTCTTGAAAAAGTCTTAAATTTCATATGCTGAAACCTGTAGGATCTCTGATAAATTAGAATACCTACAATGTAGTGTGATGTAATTGTGATCCCAAATCTTGGTTTGTATGTTTGCATAGATCATATAATGTCTCAGTGGTCAAATAATGTAATGATGTTAATTCAAAGAGATATTCCATGAAAAATATTTTACATTTATATTTATTTTTCCTAACCAACGATTGCTCTTGAGTTAACAAATACATATGAATACTATTGTCAAGTTTCAAAACGATTCAGATTACACTTACCGTACATAACAAAAAATCTGTGCTAGCTCAGTGACATGAACCATAGTGGTAGTGTATATTACCTGTATGTACATTCCAAATAAAAAGTCCCATTCATTCATATTGTTCGATGTCATTCATTGATTTGGGTTTGTTTACTTACTGTTTTAGACCAAGTTAGTGATACATGCTGCATATGGTTCAAGTAAAGACATCAGTGTGTATCATTCCATTGGATTACAGCCTCACCAGATATTTATAGTTGGCAAATCGTCCAAGAAACACAACACACAGGCACAGGTAAGCAACAATATATGCACAGTATGCTTCAGTGATGTTATAATCTTGGCCAATGGTTCTGGATACTGAATTGACCTACTATTGGTACATGGTATAGATACTAGACCAGTATTGATCCATTGCTAAAAGAGTTTCTGGATACCAGGACCAGTATTGATCCATTGCTGAAAGAGTTTCTGGATACCAGGACCAGTATTGATCCATTGCCAGTATAGTTTCTGGATACCAGGACCAGTATTGGGCCATTGTCGATATAGTTTCTGGATATCAGGAACAGTATTGACTCATTGCTGGCACAGTCTTTGGATACAAGTACATGCTGGTACTTGTATCCAATTGCTGGTACAGTTTCTGGGTACCAGAACCAGTATTCACCCATCAATTTTACCGTTTCTGGACAAGAATGACTGACTCTACATTATGATTTTAGTTACAATCATCTGCATGCATTAAAAACGTTTCTTATCAGTGACTTTTGCTGCTCGTTATGCTTACATAATGAATTTTTCTCATCTAAACAGGTCCTCAGTGAAGGTTATGCAGCACATTTAAATGAACTAGCGAGAGCTTCCCGTCCAGCAGTTGGAAATTCGCGTATGGTGTTAAGAAGAGGATGTTTCAGCTTACCAGGTCAAGGTAAAGTGGTGCGTGTACCGACGAAACAACCTGCACGCCGCGTAGCATCCTACCAGGGTACCACTATAACGTCCGGACAGGGTCAGGGTTTGGCACCGATGAGGTCATTTACCCAGAAGACTTCGCCGCAGATGACACACCGTGCTTCAATTGGTGGAGTTAAATTTGAATCAGCTATCTGATTTTGTGTATAATTGTCTTGTACATGTTCAGGTTCGCTGCTGTTATCCCATGATTCAGATCTTGGAGAGGAGGCCTCTGGCTGTTTTGTGACACGGGTCTAAAACAGACTTCAAGCTAATGTCTCAAATGCTGGGCTCCAATCAAAACAACCCGACTAATGGCAAGTGTCGTGAATATCAAAAATATTGGTGGTCAGTGAGTGAAATTGATACACTGCAGTTATGAAATGTAGTGTTTTAAAAAATTGTGATTCTTCATATCAACTTGTTTGAAGTCTGCAAAATGTAATTTTTTCCTGAATACATTTATCTAATGCAAATATAGTATGTATTGTCAGCCAATAGTCTAAGAATAGTTTTGCTGCTAGTCAGCCAATCTCCTTTCAACCAAAACATGCATGCGGTTTGTAGGCCAATCAGTGAAATTATTGCATCAAGATGTGGGTGCACAATGACATTTGTAACATGCTTTTCAATTGGCTAAAATCTATTATGATTTAGTGGCTTGCATTACATTTATGTTTAAGTCCTGGTAATATTATATTGTAAATTTGAGTGTATTAAGCTGGCATGCTGCCGTTTTTATGTGTTGTACTTCACTCAGTGATAAAATTTATAATCTACATAAATTATGACATTTTAAAAATATTTTATCTTTATTATTATTTATTAATGTTTTGGAATGAGTTTTAATAAATAAATTGAATACAGCCAGAAATGGGAGAAATATTTTGATTTGGATAATTCCAAAATATAATTTTAAATATTTATTAAATTTAAATGTGTCTAGACTGTATAATATTCCCCAATTTTAATAATTTTTCACATATTAATAATATATAAAATATGATCTTATGTGTGTTTCTGTACTGTGGTCTAATTTGTCTAGATTTTTGGCAATTCTACTGGCGCCGGAAAGTACTTCGCCAATTTCACAGCGAGGAAACAATCCCAAGTAAATGTCACATTGTTCTGAATATATTTATTATGTAACTTTCCTGAAGGTCAGTGCACTGTCACTTATAATAGGAGTGTTATGTCAAGTCACAGAGACAGGAACCCATAAAATTCTCATATTGTGTGTAACAATGGCGTAAGACATCTTGGCATAATTTTTTCATTATTCAGGGTTCTCAGCTGCCTCTGTAAGGCATTTTTTTAATTTTTAACATTGAATTCAAATTATTGTGCTATTAAATGAATACATAAATACAAGCATGGCACATG